AAAAAACTGTTATGCTTCATATACAGTTAGAATAGGATAAGGATAATATGTACATCCATCCACCCATACATATATATGTATATAGACATATAGATATATACATAAATATGTGTGTGTATGTGTATAATGCATGTATGTGTATAATGCATATATATGTGTGGGTATGTGTATAATGCATATATATGTGTGGGTATGTGTATAATGCATATATGTGTGTATAATGTGTATGTATATATAAAAGCACACAAATATATACATATATATACATATATATATATATATATATATATATATATATATATATATAATGTATATACATATATGTGTATATACATATATATATGCATATATCATGTATATATATATATATATATATATATATATATATATATATATAAACGTAATATGCATATATATATATAAACGTAATATGCATATATATATATATATAAACGTAATATGCATATATATATATATATTTATGTTTATATATATATATAGATGTATATATATATGTGTGTGTGTACATGTATCTATATCATTATATAGATATGTGTTTTATGTATATACACACATATATGTGTTGTGTATAATGTATATACATATATGCGTCTGTATATATATATGTATATATATATATATTTGTATATATTTATATAGATAGATAAATACATGTGTATATATATGTATATATACAGTGTATACATATACATATATGTGTGTGTGTGTGTACTTACATATATACTGATATACATTATATATATTACCCTTACCAGACATTCCTGAAAAAGCAAATTCCGACAGGAAGAGAAAATTGGGCTTCTTTTATTCAGATAATGGAAGATCTCTATAAAGAAAAGAAAAAAAAATTATCAATCAATCAAATTAGGGCGATACCAAAGAAAGAAAGGCTTGAGAACGAAGGTGTGTGGAAAAGAAAAAATCGGAAATCGACCTTGAATCTGAAACGGTCCCTTAACTTATTAATAATTTTGTGCCTTTCATATCTGGTGAACATGAGACTTTTAGCCAATAAATATGTATGTGTACTGTAAACGTAACTGTTGATGACTGTAATTATGGGTGCAGTGATCATTATTGATTGTTGTCATAATTGCCCTTATTTTCAACTTCATTATTTTTTTTTTTAATTATCAGCATTATTATTACAATTATTACCATCAATATATTATCTTTACTATTACTGCTATTATTATCAACTACTACAGTCAACATCAGCTATCATCATTAGTAATCTCTGTTAAAACAAAAGCATTTCCCTACATACGTATATATACCTGTTTGCTATTTCCATTAGCAAGGATTTTCATAGTATGAGACTTCCATCAGGAACGGACATTCACTACCTACACATGTGTCAGTCTCAAGGTGATCCACAGACAGTATATAAAGAGGACCTGCGCCATCTACTCACACAGCAGTTAGGTGCCTGCAATAACCCTGAGGTGAGTATATCACAACGCTGCTGATGTATTTCATATGTTAAGAGTGTATATTTTCATCGTGCCCAAAATAATGAATTCATAGAATAAATCTAGTAAATATGGTTTACTGTATTCCAGATGAAGAGACTTTTGTTGCTGGTCGCGATTGTCGCCCTCGTGGTTGCTGACGACGACAATGACGCAACTGAAGGCGTCGAGGGTCGTTCCAGAAGCAAAGCTCAGTCGGGCAAGAAGGAATCACGATTCCTTGGAGGATTAGGTTTTGATCCCATTGGAGGATTGGGAGGAGGATTTGGATTGGGTGGCGGTCTTGGAGGATTGGGAGGAGGATTTGGAGTTGACCCAGCACTTGCAGGAGGATTTGGATTCAATCCAGCTCTTGGAGGTGGATTTGGAGTAAACCCTGCGTTCGGAGGAGTAAATCCTGCATTTAGTCCTGTGGCTCCTCCCTCCACATGCCGCTACTGGTGCAGGACACCCGAGGGTCAGGCCTACTGCTGTGAGAACATCAACCAGCCACAGAGTGCTGCTGGTGTAGTCAAACCGGGATTCTGTCCCCCCGTTCGCCCAGTGTGTCCTCTTAGGAGCTTCCAGCCACCTTTCACTTGCTCTAACGACGGCGCTTGCGGAGGCATCGACAAGTGCTGCTTCGACAGATGTCTCGGCGAGCACGTGTGCAAGGCTCCTCTGGGCATTGGGCGATAGATATCCTGTGGTAATTGCAGGTGTTTGATGAAATTCATCAGTATCTTTGCGAGATAGGATGGTTTCATCAAGTCTATTCATTTTTTTATTTTTTTATTTTTTTGTTTTTATAAAACTGCGTGGAAAAATACTGTAAATATAATATAAAATAAAATATAATTTTAAAAAATATCTATCATGGTCTCTCCTTCCATCTCTTCTTAAAAGCTAGTTGAAAAGTCTAATGGAAAATGAACTATGCTTGACATTTCCCGTTGCCGAAATGTATCACTGTTATTGACCAAGTGTACAGTATGAATGTGAAGTGTGGTTAACCTGTGTGTGGTGTAGAATTTCACGATACATGAGGGGCATAACTGTGGTAATCCTGTAAGTAATTTTCTCCAAACGGTTCAGATTTGGGGACGATCAACAGGCTTACTATGGAGCTCCGTTGGAAGCCGTGTTTCGTCGGACGAGCATTAACAGTGTCACATACATTGTTTCCTCGATATAGAAATATATCATTTGACATATGAGGATATACAGTATAAATGGGAATAGTTAGTAATAACGCTGTTAGTCATATACATCACTGGCGCACGCGTCACTTTAGTTCTCACATATCTACAAATACATACGTCTTATGTTAACTTTTCACTATAAAATTCCTTCAATATTTTTTCAGCTACATTTCTTATATTTATTTACATATTAGATAAAATTATGATTTGAATATATTGTTTAAATATAACAAGATTTCACGAATCTGGTTACGCAAATCCATAAATCAGATAAACTAACATCAATACTGTTCAGAAATGTGTTGATGGATATGCTTTATGAATGTTTTACAAAATCATTTACAAATTATCCAGAATCAGATATCATCAGCTAAGATGCTTGTGTAAATATGTGCATGTGTCTCGGTATATGTTTATGAAAAATAACATAAAGACTATATTCTGTAGGAGTAGCAGTCACCATGTCATTTCATTTAATCAATATACATCTCTGGCAGCAACAGATGAATCTCACTAGATAATGCAATGGCTTTAAAGACTTCTCCAAACCGGCTTCCAGAATTTGTGAATATATTCCCCGAAGTATCTATTAGGAAAGCAAGCATCAGTGCTACTGTCTTAGAGACTCCGAGCTTGTGTGGATTGAAAGAAAGGAAGATTGTTTTCCCCAGTTTCATGATAGGCAAATACCAGATACTTTTCTCAAATTGATAACATGGTTTATATCACAATTTTGTTTGCTTACTCTGCACAGTTACAAAGTATATGCATACACTCACACCCCACCTATACACACTATTTTCTAAATGACTTTTTCACATCTACATGTCAGACTTAGTAAAAGTCGATTTGCATTATAGTCGATTCCCACAGTACTCACAAGTTCATAGCTCGCACATATATGCCGTATATTGATATGTACAGTATATATATGTATGTTATGTATATCATACATATGTATGTTTACACATTTATGCATCTTACAATCATAGCCTTTTCTAATCAAATCAAATTGTATGTTCGAAAACGGAATCGTAGGGATTAAGTGATAAAAAGCAGTAAATGCAGAATGTCATCTTTCATATCACTCAAATGTGAAATATATAGTCTGTAACATTAGTTATATCTCAGCAAAGACGCGTAAATCATTCTAAAAATATTTTATTGTATTTTCTATTTACATTTTTACATTCGTCATTATGGAAAATTCTAATATTCACAATGAAATCATCCTACCACGAGAAGCAATGATAAATTTCACTGAACACCAGAATGCCCTTAAGGATACCTATCGCCCAATGCCCAGAGGAGCCTTGCACACGTGCTCGCCGAGACATCTGTCGAAGCAGCACTTGTCGATGCCTCCGCAAGCGCCGTCGTTAGAGCAAGTGAAAGGTGGCTGGAAGCTCCTAAGAGGACACACTGGGCGAACGGGGGGACAGAATCCCGGTTTGACTACACCAGCAGCACTCTGTGGCTGGTTGATGTTCTCACAGCAGTAGGCCTGACCCTCGGGTGTCCTGCACCAGTAGCGGCATGTGGAGGGAGGAGCCACAGGACTAAATGCAGGATTTACTCCTCCGAACGCAGGGTTTACTCCAAATCCACCTCCAAGAGCTGGATTAACTCAGCTTTGCTTCTGGAACGACCCTCGACGCCTTCAGTTGCGTCATTGTCGTCGTCAGCAACCACGAGGGCGACAATCGCGACCAGCAACAAAAGTCTCTTCATCTGAAATATTTGAATATTCACATGATGCTGAGTTGCAAATATTAAAAAGGGAACCACCTACTCACAAACAAGTACACCATAAAAATACAACCTCAGATTTCCCACATAAATGTTTTCCAACTTGTACTGTACCCACCTTTCGAGGATCAGTGCAGGCACCTTACTGCTGTGCCCGTGAGTACTGCAGCCTGCTATATATACTGCTTCAGTTGTCCTTGAGACCGTCCCACATGCCGCTGGCTGTATGTGTGTGTAAAGCAGTGTATATGTACACATTTATTATGCATCTTACAATCATAGCCTTTTCTAATCAAATCAAATTGAATGTTCGAAAACGGAATCGTAGGGATTAAGTGATAAAAGCAGTAAATGCAGAATGTCATCTTTCATATCACTCAAATGTGAAATATATAGTCTGTAACATTAGTTATATCTCAGCAAAGACGCATAAATCATTCTAAAAATATTTTATTGTATTTTCTATTTACATTTTTACATTCGTCATTATGGAAAATTCTAATATTCAAAATGAAATCATCCTACCACGAGAAGCAATGATAAATTTCACTGAACACCAGAATGCCCTTAAGGATACCTATCGCCCAATGCCCAGAGGAGCCTTGCACACGTGCTCGCCGAGACATCTGTCGAAGCAGCACTTGTCGATGCCTCCGCAAGCGCCGTCGTTAGAGCAAGTGAAAGGTGGCTGGAAGCTCCTAAGAGGACACACTGGGCGAACGGGGGGACAGAATCCCGGTTTGACTACACCAGCAGCACTCTGTGGCTGGTTGATGTTCTCACAGCAGTAGGCCTGACCCTCGGGTGTCCTGCACCAGTAGCGGCATGTGGAGGGAGGAGCCACAGGACTAAATGCAGGATTTACTCCTCCGAACGTCCAAATCCTCCTGCAAGTGCTGGGTCAACTCCAAATCCTCCTCCCAATCCTCCAAGACCGCCATCCAATCCAAATCCTCCTCCCAATCCTCCAACGGGGCCAAAACCTCCCAATCCTCCAAGGAATCGTGATTCCTTCTTGCCCGACTCAGCTTTGCTTCTGGAACGACCCTCGACGCCTTCAGTTGCGTCATTGTCGTCGTCAGCAACCACGAGGGCGACAATCGCGACCAGCAACAAAAGTCTCTTCATCTGAAATATTTGAATATTCACATGATGCTGAGTTGCAGACATTAAAAAGGGAACCACCTACTCACAAACAAGTACACCATAAAAATACAACCTCAGATTTCCCACATAAATGTTTTCCAACTTGTACTGTACCCACCTTTCGAGGATCAGTGCAGGCACCTTACTGCTGTGCCCGTGAGTACTGCAGCCTGCTATATATACTGCTTCAGTTGTCCTTGAGACCGTCCCACATGCCGCTGGCTGTATGTGTGTGTAAAGCAGTGTATATGTACACATTTATTTATAGACAGTTATAGATATAAAATATGCCCAATAATTGTGGTATGTATGTCTTTATCTCTTTGTATATACACATGCAAACATGTGTATATATGCGTATATACATGTACATATACATGCACATGGTGATATATACACATACGTATATATAGATGTGTATATATATATCTATCTATATGCATATATATACATATATATAATAGACATATTCACCAAAATATATACATATATGTATATGTGTGTATAGTGTATATATGTGTGTGATTGTCTACTTTAATACAGTCATGGATTTTATGCATATCTATATATACGTAAATGCACATACAAACACTCACGCACATATACACACATATCTATATTTACATATATATACAGATATCTGTGTCTGTATATACATGCATGCGTGTGTGTGTGTGTGTGTAAATATGTACACACACATATATATATATGTACATATATATACATATATGTGTACATATATATACATATATGTGTGTACATATATATACATATATGTGTGTACATATATATATAATATATATGATATATATGTATATGAATATATATGTACCATATTCATTTTGACAAATGTATAAAGTGTAAAATAAGAATGAATTTTTGATGAAGATATATTCGCAACCGGTCAAATACATCTCTTGTATTGTGAAGATATTCATCCCCATTCATACCTTTCATACATATATGTGTGTGTGGGTGTATGGACATATACCATATATTTGTGTGCATAGTATAGGTTTATACATATATATGTGTGTGTGTGTAAAAACAAATATATAATATATAGATGTACATACACATATATATTTATGTATACATATACATACAGATGTGTGTATATATATATATGATATATGTAATGTGTGTGTATATACATGTGTGTCTATATATTATATATATATATATATTACAGGTACAGCAAAATAAATTCAGCCAGACTCATGACTGCACGAAATTAATCCATAATCACAGTCAGTGATGCCTTACTAATTTGATGTTATATGTACATTAGAAGGTAACGTGTCAATTTAAAGTCAGTTTCCGGATAAAAGAATTCCATCTCCAAGGAATTCGTGTATTCACATTTTCGCGCTCTTTTGTTTTTAAAGGATATGTTTGCATTTCCCCCCTATACCTAATATAACCCTGGATGGATATATTAGAAACTGTAGTCGAAAAATTCACAAATACATATTTGTACCTTTCGCAAATGCTTTACAAACATACACACTCTCTCTCACACACATATTTACCTTTAATACGTGTGTGCGTATATATACTATACACACATATATACATATGGCCTAAACATAAGCATTATAACGTGTACACAATAATGAAAAGGAAAACAGCCACAGTAAGACTTAAAAATAAATCGTGACGTTTCGAACTCTTCACGAATTCCTCCTCAGATGAAAAGGGAACTCGAAAAGAGTTCAAAACGTCACGATTTATTTTCATTTCTTCTGTGGCCGTTTTCCTTTTCATATATATGTATGTATATATATGTATATATGTTTCTATATACGCATTTAGTGGACATTGAAAACAAATATTCTTTCAATATTCAGGAGTTTAGTAGACAGAAAAAAATGAGGGAAGATAAACGTATAGCCCTTTCATCAATTTCATATCGATTATCCGGCCCTTCTACGACAGATGAATAGCTCTGACATATACCGTCTATGTCCAAATTACGTTATCAGATAATCTTTTCGAGTATTTTAGAATTACGAGGAAGATATTCTAGAACATCTGATGATTCTTTTTATTCTGGTAAAGCCTTGCAGATGATTAAAATGAATCATTTACCAGATATTTCCTTTCTTTAAAGCTATGTTGTGTTAATAACGTCGAAGGATGTATTTTCATACCCCACTGAATGTAAACATCACCAACAGATAAAGAAATTATAAGTGGTAAAGTAATGATAGACTTCATTCTTTTTCGTTTGGTATTTATTATTATATTTACATTTTTTACATATGAGAAAAGGCAATGAAATCATCCTACCTCGCAGAGGTACTGATGAATTTCATCAAACGCCTGCAATTACCACAGGATATCTATCGCCCAATGCCCAGAGGAGCCTTGCACACGTGCTCGCCGAGACATCTGTCGAAGCAGCACTTGTCGATGCCTCCGCAAGCGCCGTCGTTAGAGCAAGTGAAAGGTGGCTGGAAGCTCCTAAGAGGACACACTGGGCGAACGGGGGGACAGAATCCCGGTTTGACTACACCAGCAGCACTCTGTGGCTGGTTGATGTTCTCACAGCAGTAGGCCTGACCCTCGGGTGTCCTGCACCAGTAGCGGCATGTGGAGGGAGGAGCCACAGGACTAAATGCAGGATTTACTCCTCCGAACGCAGGGTTTACTCCAAATCCACCTCCAAGAGCTGGATTAAATCCAAATCCTCCTGCAAGTGCTGGGTCAACTCCAAATCCTCCTCCCAATCCTCCAAGACCGCCACCCAATCCAAATCCTCCTCCCAATCCTCCAACGGGGCCAAAACCTCCCAATCCTCCAAGGAATCGTGATTCCTTCTTGCCCGACTCAGCTTTGCTTCTGGAACGACCCTCGACGCCTTCAGTTGCGTCATTGTCGTCGTCAGCAACCACGAGGGCGACAATCGCGATCAGCAACAAAAGTCTCTTCATCTGAAATATTTGAATATTCACATGATGCTGAGTTGCAGACATTAAAAAGGGAACCACCTACTCACAAACAAGTACACCATAAAAATACAACCTCAGATTTCCCACATAAATGTTTTCCAACTTGTACTGTACCCACCTTTCGAGGATCAGTGCAGGCACCTTACTGCTGTGCCCGTGAGTACTACAGCCTGCTATATATACTGCTTCAGTTGTCCTTGAGACCGTCCCACATGCCGCTGGCTGTATGTGTGTGTAAAGCAGTGTATATGTACACATTTATTTATAGACAGTTATAGATATAAAATATGCCCAATAATTGTGGTATGTATGTCTTTATCTCTTTGTATATACACATGCAAACATGTGTATATATGCGTATATACATGTACATATACATGCACATGGTGATATATACACATACGTATATATAGATGTGTATATATATATCTATCTATATGCACATATATACATATATATAATAGACATATTCACCAAAATATATAATAAAATAATAATAATCGGTTTATTGATTTTCATGCAGCCAGGGGCTGAAAATATACATATATGTGTGTATAGTGTATATATGTGTGATTGTCTACTTTAATACAGTCATGGATTTTATGCATATCTATATATACGTAAATACACATACAAACACTCACGCACATATACACACATATCTATATCTATATCTATTTATATATATATATACAGATATCTGTGTCCGTATATACATGCATGCGTGTGTGTGTGTGTGTAAATATGTACACACACATATATATATATGTACATATATATACATAGATGTGTGTACATATATATACATATATGTGTGTACATATATATACATATGTGTGTACATATATATATAATATATATGATATATATGTATATAAATATATATGTACCATATTCATTTTGACAAATGTATAAAGTGTAAAATAAGAATGAATTTTTGATGAAGATATATTCGCAACCGGTCAAATACATCTCTTGTATTGTGAAGATATTCATCCCCATTCATACCTTTCATACATATATGTGTGTGTGGGTGTATGGACATATACCATATATTTGTGTGCATAGTATAGGTTTATACATATATATGTGTGTGTGTGTAAAAACAAATATATAATATATAGATGTACATACACATATATATTTATGTATACATATACATACAGATGTGTGTATATATATATATGATATATATGTAATGTGTGTGTATATACATGTGTGTCTATATATTATATATATATATATATATTACAGGTACAGCAAAATAAATTCAGCCAGACTCATGACTGCACGAAATTAATCCATAATCACAGTCAGTGATGCCTTACTAATTTGATGTTATATGTACATTAGAAGGTAACGTGTCAATTTAAAGTCAGTTTCCGGATAAAAGAATTCCATCTCCAAGGAATTCATGGATTCACATTTTCGCGCTCTTTTGTTTTTAAAGGATATGTTTGCATTTCCCCCCTATACCTAATATAACCCTGGATGGATATATTAGAAACTGTAGTCGAAAAATTCACAAATACATATTTGTACCTTTCGCAAATGCTTTACAAACATACACACTCTCTCTCACACACATATTTACCTTTAATACGTGTGTGCGTATATATACTATACACACATATATACATATGGCACAAACATAAGTATTATAACGTATACACAATAATGAAAAGGAAAACAGCCACAGTAAGACTTAAAAATAAATCGTGACGTTTCGAACTCTTCACGAATTCCTCCTCAGATGAAAAGGGAACTCGTGAAGAGTTCAAAACGTCACGATTTATTTTCATTTCTTCTGTGGCCGTTTTCCTTTTCATATATATGTATGTATATATATGTATATATATGTTTCTATATACGCATTTAGTGGACATTGAAAACAAATATGCTTTCAATATTCAGGAGTTTAGTAGACAGAAAAAAATGAGGGAAGATAAACGTATAGCCCTTTCATCAATTTCATATCGATTATCCGGCCCTTCTACGACAGATGAATAGCTCTGACATATACCGTCTATGTCCAAATTACGTTATCAGATAATCTTTTCGAGTATTTTAGAATTACGAGGAAGATATTCTAGAACATCTGATGATTCTTTTTATTCTGGTAAAGCCTTGCAGATGATTAAAATGAATCATTTACCAGATATTTCCTTTCTTTAAAGCTATGTTGTGTTGATAACGTCGAAGGATGTATTTTCATACCCCACTGAATGTAAACATCACCAACAGATAAAGAAATTATAAGTGGTAAAGTAATGATAGACTTCATTCTTTTTCGTTTGGTATTTATTATTTATATTTACATTTTTTACATATGAGAAAAGGCAATGAAATCATCCTACCTCGCAGAGGTACTGATAAATTTCATCAAACGCCTGCAATTACCACAGGATATCTATCGCCCAATGCCCAGGGGAGCCTTGCACACGTGCTCGCCGAGACATCTGTCGAAGCAGCACTTGTCGATGCCTCCGCAAGCGCCGTCGTTAGAGCAAGTGAAAGGTGGCTGGAAGCTCCTAAGAGGACACACTGGGCGAACGGGGGGACAGAATCCCGGTTTGACTACACCAGCAGCACTCTGTGGCTGGTTGATGTTCTCACAGCAGTAGGCCTGACCCTCGGGTGTCCTGCACCAGTAGCGGCATGTGGAGGGAGGAGCCACAGGACTAAATGCAGGATTTACTCCTCCGAACGCAGGGTTTACTCCAAATCCACCTCCAAGAGCTGGATTGAATCCAAATCCTCCTGCAAGTGCTGGGTCAACTCCAAATCCTCCTCCCAATCCTCCAAGACCGCCACCCAATCCAAATCCTCCTCCCAATCCTCCAACGGGATCAAAACCTCCTAATCCTCCAAGGAATCGTGATTCCTTCTTGCCCGACTCAGCTTTGCTTCTGGAACGACCCTCGACGCCTTCAGTTGCGTCATTGTCGTCGTCAGCAACCACGAGGGCGACAATCGCGATCAGCAACAAAAGTCTCTTCATCTGAAATATTTGAATATTCACATGATGCTGAGTTGCAAGCATTAAAAAGGAAACCACCTACTCACTAACAAGTACACCATAAAAATACAACCTCAGATTTCCCACATAAATGTTTTCCATCTTTTATTGTACCCACCTTTCGAGGATCAGTGCAGGCACCTTACTGCTGTGCCCGTGAGTACTGCAGCCTGCTATATATACTGCTTCAGTTGTCCTTGAGACCGTCCCACATGCCGCTGGCTGTATGTGTGTGTAAAGCAGTGTATTTGTACACATTTATCTACAGACACGTTACAGATATACTGTATGTCCAATAATTATGGTATGTATATCTTTATCTCTGTATATACACATACATGAACAAATATGTGTATATATGTATATTTAAACATGCATATGGTGCATATATATATACATATACATGTTTATAGATATGTGTGTATATCTATCTATATGCATATATATATAATCAAATATATAATATATACAAATATACACCAAAATATATACATATATGTATGTGTGTAGTGTATATGTGTGTGATTGTCTACTTTAATACAATCATGGATTTGGTGCATATCTATATAAACGTAAATACACATACAAACGCTCACGCTCACATACACATATCTATATCTATATCTGTCTATATATATATATACAGATATATGTGTCTCTATATGTGTATACATATATATACGTCTATGTATGTACATATATATGAATGTATATAAATGTATATGTATGTACCGTATTCATGTTGACAGATGTATAAAGTATAAAATGAGAATGAATTTCTGACGAAGATATAATTGAAACCGGTCAAATACATCTCTTGTATTGTGAAGATATTCATTCTCATACATGTTATACATATATATGTGTGTGGGAATATGAGCATATATATTTGTGTATATGATATATGTTTATACATACATATATATATTTATGTATATGTATGTATGTATGTATAGATAAACTAATATATAATATATAGATGTACACACATATAAATATATATGTATATATACATTCATATATGTAAAATGTATATGTAATGTGTGTGTACATATATCATATTTGTGAGTGTGTGTGTATGTATGTGAGTGTTTATATATATATATATGACGTACATATATATATTACAGGTACAGCAAAATAAATTCAGTGAGACTCGTGACTATACGAGATCAATCCATAATCACAATCAATGATGCCTTACTAGCTTAATGTTATATGTGCATTGCAAGGTAGCGTGTCAGCTTAAAGTCAGTTTAAGGATCAGAGAATTCCATCTCCAAGGAACTCACGTATTCATATTTTCGTGTTCTTGAGTTTTCAAAGGATATTATTGCATTTCCTTCTATATCTAATATAACTCTGATCGTATAAATCAAACATTGTAGTCGGAAAACCACAAAATAAATTCACAAATTCATATCTATACCTTTCACATATGCTGTACATACACACACACTCTCTTTAACACACACATATATGCCTTTAATGCGTGTGTGTGTGTGTGTATACTATATACACAAATACACATATATATATGACACAAACATAAACACAATAACGTGTACACAAAGGTAAAAAGGAAAACAGCCACAGTAAGGCAAAAATAAATCGTGACGCTTCGAACTCTTCACGAATTCCTCCTCAGACGAAAAAGGAACTCGTGAAGAGTTCGAAACGTCATAATTTATTTTCATTTCTTCTATGGCCGTTTTCCTTTTCATAAATATATATGTATTTATATACGTATTTAGTGGAAACTAAAAACAAATATGTCGTTTCTTTCAGTATTCAGTTTAGTGACAGAAAAAATACAGGGAAGATAAATGTATAACCCTTCCATCAATTTCATATCGATTATCCGGCTCTTCTAAGACAGATGAATAGCTCTGACATATACCGTCTTTGTCCAAATTACTACGTTATCAGATAATCTTTTCGAGTATTTTAGAATTACCAGGAAGATATTCTAGAATACCCGATGATTCTTTTTATTCTGGTAAAGACTTCCAAATTATTAAAATGAATCATTTACCAAATATTTCCTTTCTTTAAAGCTATGTTGTGTTGATAACGTCGATGGATGCAATTTCATACCTCATTGAATGTAAACATCACCAACAGATAAAGAAATTATAAGTAGTAAAGTAATGATAGACTTCATTCTTTTTCGTTTGGTATTTATTGTATATATTTACATTTTTTACATATGAAAAAAGACAATGAAATCATCCTACCTCGCAGAGGTACTGATGAATTTCATCAAACGCCTGCAATTACCACAGGATATCTATCGCCCAATGCCCAGAGGAGCCTTGCACACGTGCTCGCCGAGACATCTGTCGAAGCAGCACTTGTCGATGCCTCCGCAAGCGCCGTCGTTAGAGCAAGTGAAAGGTGGCTGGAAGCTCCTAAGAGGACACACTGGGCGAACGGGGGGGCAGAATCCCGGTTTGACTACACCAGCAGCACTCTGTGGCTGGTTGATGTTCTCACAGCAGTAGGCCTGACCCTCGGGTGTCCTGCACCAGTAGCGGCATGTGGAGGGAGGAGCCACAGGACTAAATGCAGGATTTACTCCTCCGAACGCAGGGTTTACTCCAAATCCACCTCCAAGAGCTGGATTGAATCCAAATCCTCCTGCAAGTGCTGGGTGGTCAACTCCAAACCCTCCTCCCAGTCCCCCAAGACCGCCACCCAATCCAAATCCTCCTCCCAATCCTCCAACGGGGCCAAAACCTCCTAATCCTCCAAGGAATCGTGATTCCTTCTTGCCCGACTGAGCTTTGCTTCTGGAACGACTCTCGACGCCTTCAGTTGCGTCATTGTCGTCGTCAGCAACCACAAGGGCGACAATCGCGACCAGCAACAAAAATCTCTTCATCTGAAAAAGAAAAGAAAAAAAATTCTATTATACAAAACATGCATATCCATTCAAAGAAAGCATTCAAATAAAAATTCCACGTGAATATTTCAAGAAACTTGCGGCTCACTCACCTTTTGAGGATCAGTGCAGGCACCTAACTGCTGTGCATGAGTACAGCAGGTCTTCTTTATATACTGTCTGCAGCTGACCCTGAGGCCGCCTTACATGCCGCTGTCTACAGGTACCCCGTCCCGGTAGAAGATGCGTTTGTTTTTATAGTAGCATCGGAAGGCCACTTTTTGCAAAACACTGCTTTTTCAAGAATTCTGTTCAGCAGTAAAAAAATATCAACTTTATGTGTGCATACACATATACGTTTATCTACACACACACCTCACAGCCATTGCATGTGTGTTTGCCATAAGAATAGAAGATATATATACAAAAAGGTTTTTTTTGATAGATTATAGGTTATATATTGATACATTTAATTCTGTCCTTGCTTAGTGTTTGTCTATTCTATTGATATATTTCTGCCTATCTACCAATCTATCTATCTCGATGAAAATGCATGCATATAGACAGTTCCGAGCAAATGAACAGGGAACGCCTCGTCCCGGGTATACGTGCGGTGGCTCCTGGCTGGCAAGTTAACTCTCTAGATGAGGTGGATAAAACGTGGGTGTGGATAGGTGACAGTGACGTGTTTAACATTGCAGTAGTTGGAACGTTAATGGGGCTGGGAAGTGAAAAGTTACCTTAACAACATTACCTTCTATAAAAGATATTGGCTTAATGTGAGCTGGCGCAGTGCTCGTCCAGCTATTTTCTTCAGGTTTTAAATATTAATACGTATATATAATATATATACATATATGTGTGTATATGCGTGTGTGCAATTATGTCTTTTACAGAAATATATATATACATTTCAATAAAAGATATTGGCTTTATGTAAAATGGCGCATTGCCCGTCCAGTTACTATCTTCAGGTTTTTAATCTGTATGCATAAATGTGTGAGTGTTTGCAATTATATATAATATATATATATTTCTATAAATGATATTGGCTTAATGCGAACTGGCGCAGTACCCGTCCAGCTACTTTCTTTAGGTCCTTAATCTGTATGCATATATGTGTGTATACCTATATATGTGTGTATGAAGACCAACCGTATTAATCAGCAGAATGAATGTAATAATGATTATTAGTTGGAAATGTATGATTTACATATATAAATGAATATATATATATATTATATGCACATATGTACACACACACGCGCATATATATACATAGCTACGTGTCTAGCGAAAAGTGAAAAATAAATTATTTGTTTATATACATATACAAGAGAGAACAGGAGGGAAGATGAAAGTATACCCTTCAATCGATTCTAGATTGAGCATCTGGCCCTTCCAAGACAATTGGATTGCCCTGACATTTACCGTCTATGTCCAAGTTACTGCGTTATCAGTGATAATTTTTTCGAGTATCTTTGCATTCTCTGGAACATTTGACTAAAACATAAAAAATATATCAAAATATTTGATGAAAATTTTTAATCTGGTTAAGACTTGAAGATGATGAAAATATGATTGTCATTTACCAGATACAGGGTTTTTCTTAAGCCCTGAAGTGTTATATAGTCAAAGGATGAGATTTGTGCATGGTAGAAGTAAGGGAAAAGTTTGAATCAAACTTCGCATCTTCTTACGAATTGGTTTTACTTTCTAAAGTCTCAACAAAAATATATTTCTTGTGTATTTTTACGCCTCAATGAATGTAAACAAAACCAACGGATAAAAAAATATAAACGGTGATAGATGTTATTCTTTTTCGTTTGGTTTTTATTGTATATATTTACATTTTTTACATATGAGAAAAGGCAATGAAATCATCCTACCTCGCAGAGGTACTGATGAATTTCATCAAACGCCTGCAATTACCACAGGATATCTATCGCCCAATGCCCAGAGGAGCCTTGCACACGTGCTCGCCGAGACATCTGTCGAAGCAGCACTTGTCGATGCCTCCGCAAGCGCCGTCGTTAGAGCAAGTGAAAGGTGGCTGGAAGCTCCTAAGAGGACACACTGGGCGAACGGGGGGACAGAATCCCGGTTTGACTACACCAGCAGCACTCTGTGGCTGGTTGATGTTCTCACAGCAGTAGGCCTGACCCTCGGGTGTCCTGCACCAGTAGCGGCATGTGGAGGGAGGAGCCACAGGACTAAATGCAGGATTTACTCCTCCGAACACTGGGTTTACTCCAAATCCACCTCCAAGAGCTGGATTAAATCCAAATCCTCCTGCAAGTGCTGGGTCAACTCCAAATCCTCCTCCCAATCCTCCAAGACCGCCACCCAATCCAAATCCTCCTCCCAATCCTCCAACGGGATCAAAACCTCCTAATCCTCCAAGGAATCGGGATTCCTTCTTGCCCGACTGAGCTTTGCTTCTGGAACGACCCTCGACGCCTTCAGTTGCATCATTGTCGTCGTCAGCAACCACGAGGGCGACAATCGCGACCAGCAACAAAAGTCTCTTCATCTGAAATATTTGAATATTTACATGATGCTGGGTTGCAAACATTAAAAAGGAAACCACTTACTCACAAACAAGTGCACCTTAAAAATAAAACTTTACATTTTCCACATAAATAAGTCTTCCGACTTGTATTGTACCCACCTTTCGAGGATCAGTGCAGGCACCTTACTGCTGTGCCCGTGAGTACTACAGCCTGCTATATATACTGCTTCAGTTGTCCTTGAGACCGTCCCACATGCCGCTGGCTGTATGTGTGTAAAGCAGTGTATATGTACACATATATCCACAGACAGTTATAGATATACTGTATGTCCAATAATTATGGTATGTATATCTTTATATCTTCGTATTTACACATACATGCACATACATGTGTATATATGCATATATACATGTATATCTACATGCATATATAGCATATATAAACACATACATGTATATATAGATAAGTGTATATATATATATATTTACACATATATACATATATATAATACATACAAATATACACCAAATATATACATATATTTATATGTATCTGTATTGTGCATATATATGTGCGTATGTGTGATTGTCTACTTTAATACAGTCATACAGGCATATCTATATATACAGGCATATCTACATATACGTAAATACACATACAAACGCTCACGTACACATACACATCTATATTTTTTTTTAATTCAATTCAATTCAAATTCAAACACTTTATTCCATTAATTTCAATGGGTATTCCATTTATATACATGTTGTTTACATTATGTAATAGGATGTTATATACATAGACATTATACAATGCTTGTTTAACAAGATTAGACAGAACATTAGTATTACAGATGACTGAAATGTCGTACTTGTCATTGATATTTTAGTAGATGTTCTTTCACTTTTGTTTTAAATGTCTTTTGGTTGGAGATATTTCTAATATTTTCAGGTAGTTGGTTCCAGATCACCAGTCCTCGGATTTGCATATTTCTTGCCCCGGTTTCTGTATTCGATCTCTTGATATATAAGGAGTTATTTTGCCTTGTAAGGACACCTGTTATGTTACCTGTTATTTGTATGGGTGATAGCCAATTTGGGTAGTTTCCTTGTATTATTTTATGGATCAGAATACACGTGTCATATTTGCATTTCTCTTGTACTTTTAACCATTTTAGTTTGTTTATATGTGGTGTGATGTGGTCATATTTATTAACATTTCCCATTGCCACTCTTGCCGCGAAGTTCTGTAGTTTCTGTGTCCTTTGTAATTGTGTTTTGTTTGTGGAGCCCCAGATGTTTAGACAGTAATTAAGGATACTAAGACAGCAATATATCTGTCTATATCTGTCTATGTATATATATACAGATATGTGCGTCTATATATACATGCGCGTATGTGTTTATATACATATGTACACACACATATATATGTGTGTATGTACATATATATATACATATATGCATATATATGCAATATATATGTATATATGTATATAAATATATATGTATGTACCGTATTCATGTTGACAAATGTATAAAGTGTAAAATGGGGATGAATTTCTGACGAAGATATAATTGAATATATATTAATTCTCATTCATACCTTTTAAACATATATCATATATTTGTGTATATATGTTTATACATACATATATATATTTATATATGTGTGTGTATGTGTATGTATCTATATATATAAACTATTATGTAATATATAGATGTACATACACATACAAATATACATACAGATATATAAGATATATATGTAATGTGTGTGTATATATATTATATATTTCTGTGTGTATATGTATGTGAGTGTGTTTATATATATGACATATATATTACAGGTACAGCAAAATAAATTCAGTCAGACTCATGACTGTACGAGATCAATCCATAATCACAGTCAATGATGCCTTTAATAGTTTAAAGATGCATGTGCGATACGTCACGATTTATTTTCATTTTTTCTGTGGCCCTTTTCCTTTTCATATATATATATATATACGTATTTAGTGGAAATTGAAAACAAATTTCGTTTCTTTAAATAAATGTATAGCCCTTCCATCAATTTCAGACTGGTTATCCGGCCCTTCTAATACAGTTGAATAGCTCTGACATATACCGTCTATGTCCAAATACCGGGCTCCCCTCATGGGCATAGCCCGGGCGAAGCTCTGCTTCGCAAATCAGACAAAAAAAAAAAAAAAAAAAAAAATATGTCCAAATTACTACATTATCAGATATTCTTTTCGAGCATTTTAGAATTATCAGGAAGATATTCTAGAACACCTGATGATTCTTCTTATTCTGGTAAAGCCTTGCAGATGATTAAATTAAATCATTTACCAGATATTTCCTTTCTTTAAAGCTAGGTTGTGTTAATAACGTCGAAGGATGTAACTTCATGCCTCACTGAATGTAAACATCACAAACAGATAGGAAATTATAAGTGGTAAAGCAATGATAGACTTCATTCTTTTTC